AAACAGACCCTTAGTCTCATAAAGTTATACATTAAAAGGTGTACTTTATGTATTACTAAAGAACTTATAATGATAATTTTGCGGTGGAAGTTACAGATTTGAACGGTATGTTAAGTAAATATGGATTTTTAGATATGTGATGTGTAAATACATCATTTATTCATACACAGTTTTTGCTTGAATGCGTGGCGCTAGTTTATGGATGTGGCGGTCGAATTAGCGCCGCCTGGCAGAAGATAACGCCATCGGTTTACTAATCATAGCTCTAACTTGTTTTTCTTTCTCTAAGATTTTCATACATTCCCCTCTTTACTTATCCATCATCCAAACTTGATTTCTTCATATATATATATATATATTTTGATAAGACTGTGACTTCAGGAGAGAATGAAATTAATGCCTAATAACTGAGTCATCCACTTTAAAGAATTTAGACTGGGTCCTAAGCAAATTTCAAAATAAAATAATGTGGTGTAAATACGAGTAATTAACTCGGGATATCACGAGCCTTTTAATCTCCTGCCACGTGACTGGGTCCTGACTCACGAATGAGTTATAATATCTCAGAATTCAACTTAAGAAATATTTGAGGATTCTTAGTTAGGGGAATTTGGACATTCAAAATCCTTAACATACGATCCACCAGATATAGTAATTCGCAGAAAACAAACGGATCAAAAAAAGTATATAATAATAAATTACCCCGAGAAGAAGCTTGAGGTGAGCATAATAAAAAATTGGTATCTAAATGCACGCATTCAAAATCTTTAAATCATGCTCTACCAGATATAGTAATTCTCGACAAAACACGAAGAAAAAAATGGTATGAAAAGTTTGATCCAAACATCAAATCAAAATAAAAAAGTCTCCCTGAGAAGAAGCTTGAGGTGAACGTATAATCAAAAATTGGTGTTCGAGTTTCCCCTAATTAATGAGACTTAAAATGCTCTCTTAAGAAAAATCTTTGGATATTATATTCAAGAAAAAGTTCAACAATTTTGAGTCTTTTGGTCGGTTATTAATTAGCTCAGAAATATCTTTGGACAATGAAAAATATTTTGATCACATGACCAAAATTTTGAAATTTGCTTAGGCTCAGAAAGAAAGAATTAAAGAAACGGCGATGATATTAGTCGTTAATGGAGATTCAATCCTGAAGTCGTATCTTTCAGTGTTCAGCAAATACAACTCCAACGCCAACTCAAAGAACGTCAGAAAGATTTCTCAAAGATAACTTCAACAACCTTTACAGAATCTACAAGAAATAAAATGACAACTATTACAAACAAATCTTTAACTTACAACCTCTTCAGCTACGACGTCTTTAGAGATAACACCTCTTTTATAGGTCTTGAAAGAATATAATTCTGATAACACCTGAAAGAGTGAGTTATTTTCTAACACTTGTCCTAAGTCAGTGGACGATACTTCGAGAAGCACCATGCCTCGTGTTTCAAAGACAAAGACTCATTCTTAGATGTCGCGCTTGTCTGAAACTGGGTCTAAATCCTAAAACAAATTAAACAATAAAAAAAATAAACATTGAAACAAAATTTTGCCCCCCATAAATTTTTGAGTCTCCACACAGACATTTCAATAAAATTCTGCACTGTACGAACTTGTAAGGACGTTCTTTACACTTTGCAAAATTTTCATCATCTCTACATTTCGGGATAG